AGCCGGAGCCGCGCGCGCCGCACGACGCGGTGAGTGCCCGCAGTCAGCCCGCACTCTGCTGCCTGCGCACACAGATTGTACTAACACGTCGTGTGCTTACAGAACGGTGGCAACCACTTCGCCAACCCCGTGTACGAGAGCATATACTCCCCGCAGGACGCCAACCCCACGGAGGTTAGTCAGTCAAACTTTCTACGCCGTTGAGTACTAACATATCCAGCCTTTACAAACGTTTTGTGTTTATTTATTCAGGAAAAATCATTTCAGGAGCGCGCCAACTTGCTGCAGGAGAGCTCTCCGGCGCGCCTCTAGTGCGCTAACTGCGCTGCGCTGCGCCGGCGCAGCCTTTAAATAAAATACTTCACTAATATCAGCAACAAGTACAACGTCTTCTAATAGTTTTATAAACTTCTATGTTTTTAAATTATATTCATTCTTCATTAAATTCGATTGTATAATCGTTCGCTGAAACTTTTTCACAAATTGTTTATTCATAATTCTAACAGAGTGATAAGAGTTTCGTGCAACTTGTTGTTTTTAAAAACAAATATTACGATTAAAAGACTTGAATGAAAAAATACTTTACTAATGTTCAACATTTTAGTACATAATTGATTAGGTAAATATAAGATTAGATAGTTCGACTTAGTTCCACGAGAACTGCGCAGAAGCACGTGTATCTGCAGAACGGTAACAAAACTCGTTATTGAAAGTTGCGCAAATTATCGCACAATTTATATGATTTTTTAAAAAATTTAGACCAATTATTACAAAGTTGACATTTTTAATTTAATTAAGACATACGATAGTAGTCTAAGGTCACTGAAACATTAAGAAACAAATACATCTACCATGTGTGATATAGCATATGTCACTGGACCTTATTTTCTAGAAATTGACAATTTCTCTTGATGTCAATTTATTTTTTAAGCTCGTACATATCGTTTACAAATGATGTACATTAATTCGTGCAGCTCTTTGGGCTTTAAGTTTAGGTTTAAGTACATATCTGTTTTATGTAAAATTAGATCTCGACTAAAACTTTTTATTTCAATTAATTTAAGCCTCCCGCAGACGCTCATAACTGAACTGTTTCGTCTGTAGCGAGCTTTGGATAAAAACGTTTTTAACATGAATTAAATGGTTAAAATATGAATAGTAACAATTTAACTCTTTACAAAACACTATTGCATTAATATAATAAGCCAGTACAAGTAGTTTTATGTTAATTTAAGCGCAGAGAATTGATTAAAAAGTCTACAAATCTGTGCCATTTTGTATTAATTTTAGGAGTTTATTGTTCTTACCATTTATCGCAGGTGATGATTAGAGATTTCTTTGTATTTTGATGCATTATTTGATGAATATATTTGTGATATTTTTTTTGTAAATAAATGATATACCATCATTTATGTGCCAACACAACTTCGTGCATTCGAACTGTCTCCCGCAGGCCTAATTTACAAATGTTTTAAACTTTATTTTATAAATGATATAGTTTTGTATAATGATTTGAAGTTAAATTCTTGACGTCTCATATATTTATGTAATAAGAAATGTGTTTGTGAGGATATCTGTGAAACTCAACAATAAATGTATTGAAGTAAAGTCGCATTTTTTTTCATCCTACGTTTATGCGTCGCACGTAGGCACGTTCAGCTTGTGACGTGAAAATTCAAGAACCACGAAAAATACAAAAAACTGCCGAGTCACGCTTCCCTTATAAATATATGATAGATGTCACGTAAAACCTCAATAACTTCAAAAAATAATATATTCCCTTCCCACCAGAGCCCAAAACCTCTATAACATAGACCCTTGATAACTTAAAACCCCTATAATTTAAAATATTTTGTTTCTCTTGGACTTTAACTTATCGAGGTTCTACTGTAATCCCTTTTTTGTGATTGAATGGCCACTGTTTGCCTTGAAGACGCATGTACAGATTCACCGCAAGTGAGGTGGCCAAGCGCAGATGGCGCTTAGCCTAAACCTCGTTTATGAGTAACTGAGCTCGAGGGCTCCCTCAGGAGCCTCGGCACGAGCCGTTACTTCGTTATTATTACCGGATTGAGAGGCCACCGAGCTCTTAGATCGCTTCGGTGGACGCTCCATGGAGTGACTAGGCACAAAGGCCACGGAGAGGGAACTGTGATCCCATTTTTATCTAAACCTAAGTAAAGCTCTTGAATATGACCTATTTTAAATTGATTATTGATGGCGCTTTAAAATTGCACAGACAACTTAAAACACTAACTAAAATGACTAGCTAGACTAACATGTAATACATGACTTCTAACACAGTTTTGGAGACTTCATGGTTTCTTACATTTTTTTGTGGGATATCCCTTCCTTTTATAGGTTATTGTAGTTACATTTTCGTCTATGAAATTCAAAATTTCAAGTTTGTGGGAATGCTGATGTTAGAATAACGAAGCTGCACAGGTATAAGTTAATGTTTACTATGAAAATGTAATTTTTTTCAAATTCACCTATTTTAAGAATTTTCGTTTTTCCTATACTTATAGACGGAACGTTAACTAAATTTTAAGTTTATAGCACCATTTGAAGTGTCTTAAGATTGTGTTTAAACATGTATTTGTGTAAAAAAAAGAGAACTTTACTATAATTTGCAAACTACTAGATATTTTGGCAATATTATGAATCTGGTATATTTATTGATGTTCAAAATTTCAACCTATTATCCACGACAAAGTTACAGCGTATTATTTATTTATAAAGTACATCAATAGTAATTTATTTATTTATAAAGTACATCAAAGGATGAGTTATAGATGAATTACATAAGAAATAAGATAAGACAAGACATAAGAATGATAACAAATCCATTTATAGGTATACAAAATTGTTAGAGAAAAGAAAACATTACGGTTAGGTTACAGAAAATGTGGAACAAACAAGATAGGAGAAAAAAGAAATTAGCTAAAACCAAGTCCTATGTGTGTGCCTCTGAATGTGAGCATATGTGTTTTTTTAAATTATGTATGGAGGTGCAAAATATGTCTGTGTTGTGCTTTTCGCTGTGCAATTCGTTGTACGTACGACATATCCGGGGGATGGGTGAGTTCAGGCCTAAGTTATTTTTATACAATTGTTTAAAAAATATTTTAGTTATTGGGTGCCTGGGAGGTCTCGGAGGTACACCATACGATATTCGATTAATTAATTCACTGCAGCTCATGTGACCCCTAACAATCTTGAACAAGAACATTAGAACGTTTGTGCTAATATGTTGTGATAATTCAAGCTGCTAATTAAAGAAATGACGTGAGGCAAGTCGTTCAAGGTTGTAATAAAACAAAATGGTAAAGAATGTACAATATTTATTGAACAGCAGTAGTGGAGGGCGGTCAGTAGAAGTCGTCGTCGTCCAGTTTGTGCGGTGCGTGGTGCCGCACGGAGTCCTGCGCCAGGTACATGCGCGCGATCTGCTCGCTGCTGGTCGCCTCCTCCGGCCGCTTGTCCTCGCGCACGCGCACGAACCTGCGCACATCACACACACTTCACACTTGACACACATCACATTTATGACACATTTGACAAATATGGCATACATGGTCTATATGACAAACTTGACTATCACGGCAACCATGACATATATGACACACGTCCAACGTGGTAACACATGATTTATATTGACATACTTGGCACACAAAACACGTCAAATATAGCATATATGACAAACATGGCAACCATGCCAAATATGGCATATAGAAGTGCATGATACAAATGTGATGTGGTGAAGCGCACCTGGGGAAGCGCAGCGAGATGCCCTTGTCGCGCTCGACGCGGCCGAGCGCGGCGCGGTGCGCGGCCGACAGCGACAGGTCGGCGCAGCGCACCTCCCACACGCAGCGCGCGCTCACCCACACGTCCGGCGCCTGCGTCGCCTCGTAGCTGCACACACACGGCACTCCTCACTGCCTACCACTGCCTACCACTGCCTACCACTGCCTACCACTGCCTACCACTGCCTGCTGACTGGCCCTCTCCTCTCACTAACATATCATTCGTATACCAGTCTAATTGGCCTATAGCATCTAAATATCATCAAAACTCATTTATGTGGTAAGGTGGCTTCTTCGTTAATCATTCTAAAAGTTCCGACCTACACATTTTCAATTCCACATCTAAGTCTGTAGGGAAGGATTATTATAGAAACTCCTGCATTCGCAACAACCTGTAATGTAACTTATTACATAAAGTTCTTCTATTATTGCAATTTTGTAATTTTTTTGTGTTTAAATTTCTGTATTACCATTGTTAATTCACCATATAACACTTGTAGTACATTGATTTGACCTATTCTCTATACATGTGTAAAAAAATGAATAATAAATAACTTTGGTCTTTTGTAAAATAAATGGACGCGGTGACAAAGAGTGGCGCACCTGTAGTAGTTCCTGGGCGCGTCGATGACGTGTTCCTGCAGCTGCGCGGTGAGGGTGTCGAGGTCGTGGTCGGAGAAGCCGGTGCCGAGCTTG